ATATTCAATTAACAAAGTTTTAGTATTATATTAGATTTAAATTCAAGGTTATTAGAGTTATTATAGGAGTTGGGATAATAAATCACTAGGCCACGATGCTCCCAACACAGTTTTTTTTTGTAGATTTGTTTGCCCATGTATTAGTGTTTTATGTAAAGACTGCTTTACTAACTGCGATGAAATATTCACAGTATATTTACTAATTTATTACAACGATGTCATTACAGGTCTTGCCTAATGCATATTTATAAAACATATAACATAAAATTTAAATATGGGTCAAGAACACATAGATTGTATAAAATAAAAAAAAAAATACTCTTTTTAGGGTATTGAAAAGATATTTCATATTACCTATTATCAAGCAAAGTGTTAACTCTTTTTGACAATAAAAAATAGGTGTGTAAAAAAACAACACAACATATAAATACGAGAATGAAGTTGTGGGAACAGATAATAATATTAATAATGTATTATATAAAAAAAATAATAGATAGATATTATGATTCTATTTGAAATGTAAATATTGTAGTAGCATTTAATTATTTTTTCATTAGCCTACCACTTTGTATCAGACATAATAAACGACGTATGTTTGCAAGTCACACACAACTAATTACGAAACAATAAAATCCTTGAACATGCCGTATCGTGCTGGCACAACGGAAACACGCACAATTCATGAGCCATTGACACGGGCGGGGCTCCAGTTGGAAGGGAAATTACGTCCAAATGTGATAGCTGAACGTCCATACGAGTGTATTATGGTACAAATGTTATTTATGACGGTTACGCACTACCAGCAGTACCCTGCCTGCTTGTTTATACCAATTAGAGGAAAAAGTGATCGCTTTACAAGAATGTCACATAGATTTGTAAAGCGAGATCGAGTAACTAGCGTCTAATGTATTACTAAGATGGATGTATGCAATCTAAGATTATGCTTCAGACATAAATTTAACCTCTTTCACAACTACACGTATAAGTTTGAGGCCAATTAGAATTTAACTTCCTTTACAACTTACAAGAGTATGGGAGTAACTTAAACTTCTGTATGTTCTCCTTTAACCAAAGTTGCAACTGACTTTGTTGCAGTCGCATTTATTATTGGATCACGCTGTGTGCACATGTTGTGGCAAGTTTACCTGATCAATACATTAATGTACTTGCATGTTATAATTTAGGTTTGTATTTGTAAACTTATGTTATGTACGCCTAATAAATAAAATAAAATAAATAAATAAAGGTTGTCTGTAAGAGATTGCCGTAGCGATAAGATCGCCTTTTGTACCTTTATATGTGTATATATTAACCTGTACTGCCATGCTACTGTATTTCAGTTGAATTGTTTATATGTCCTTATTTATTTTTATATTTGGTGCAATAAAGAGTTAAATAAATAAATAACATAAGAGTAGATTTTCAATTATGGATGTTCTCATTTAAGCACAAGTACACAGGATTTTACGTCACGCAAATAATTTTAGCCTAAAGACTGGATAATTGTTGTGAAGAAGTGGCGCTTGCCTACAATAATTATATCTCAAAATAAAACGCGTATTCATATTCATACATAGGTACTAGAAACTAAATGGCTTTGTGATCTTCCTAATATAATTATATTGTTACTAGAGGGACTTCATCAGAGGGAGACTTTGTACAAAAGTCGTTTGCTTGGACACCTCTGTTCCATTCGTGTTTCTACCGTGAAGCAGTTGTGTTTGCATGGCTGTGTTTTGGTTTGAAGGGTGGGATATGGCTGTGAATATACAGGGTACAAAGGAATAACAGCTGAGTCCTCAGGAATGGCAACGCATGGGGAGTATCATGGGCGAAACAGTATACTCTGTTATGTCCATGGTACTGCTCATGTCTATAGGCGACGGTTACCACTTTTTGTCAGGTGGGCCGTCAGCTTGTTTGCTATTTTAAGTTGCATAAAAAAATATTGTAACTAAGATGTAACTGGGATATTTGGGGAAAAATGTACATGATGTGTCTGAATAACTATTGCGCCAAATTGAATTTTGTTCTTATAGTTGTATTTCTATGTCTAAATCTAAATAATATTATATATATTTTTAAAGTTCATGAGGAAGAAGTTGTGGTAAAAGGAAGCGTAGGATACAATTTATCCAATGTGTCAATGTTGACACGTTAGATTAGGTAGCCAGAGTACTGTTGCAGTGAACGTGTCAAATGTTCACTGCAACAGTACTCTGGCTACCTAACCTATCAGCTAATATAAGTTCATATTAATATTTTTAATATTAGTAGGCCTATATCTTTATATATGATATATATATATATATATAAATTTTATGAAAACAAATAATATAGCTTCTAAAAAGAAGAGATTTTTTTAGGGATTGTATTGTTTTGTATGTAGGTAAAGTACGTAAGTTTTGTATTTTCATAATTTCGGAACCAAATTAATTATATTTTAAATCGACAGGAATTATTCAATTGTGTATGTGTGACAAAATTAATATGAGCCACCATATTTATTTTGCTAATCAGTTTTTATCGTAAAAATATATTATTATTATTTTGTTGTTCTTTATCTGTAGTAAAAATTTGATTATTTTACACACAGATAAGTAAATTAGCCTGGCAACAATACCTATTACTGAAAACACACAAAATATAATGATGTACCTACTAATATTACAATTTTGAGAAAGATTGTAATAAACTTTGGAGGTTTGTTACTCAGATACGTTTAAACTGCTGAACAAATTTATATGAAGTTTAATACGCAGATAGACTCATTATGTAATTTACAGTTACTTAGAATTGCATGTATTTTGGTTGGTTGGAATATTTTCAGTAAAATTGTAAGCTATTTTAATGAGATTTAATTCACTTTTGTTTTATAAACCATTTTTAAGTATAGTATAGTAATCTCTGAATTTTACTTTACTTTATTTACTTAAGTAAGTAGAATTAAAACACCCTGTGCAATTTCAAAATATATATGTAAGATCACATGTCGATTCCATCCTGTATATATGACTCACATATACGACTATACATACACACATATAAATTACTGTAACTTCTAGGGTTTTGTAATTTTGTAATTCTAAAAAAAGAGGCAAAATAGTGCAAATGACTCTTGCAGTAAGAATAATTCTTCAAGCTATTTGGTCACCAGCAAAGTTAAAAGGAAATACTTCAGTCTCAGTAACTTAATTTTGATTTATTTTAATGATTATGAATTCTCATAATTTTCATATTTTCCATTTTCGACTAGCTTTTCGCCCGCTACTTCGTGCACGTAGACTTCTGAAGTAGGTAAACCAATAGACCGCTTCTACTCGTAGCTGGCATATCAAAATAAGACACCAAATTTTAAGCTATACGTTCAGGAACACAAGTATGAAAACCGCATCCAATTTGGCGTAGTAGGTAGTATTTTCATGACGCCGAAACATCAGATATACATACAGACAGACGGACTAAATTTCTAAAAATTATTGTTTTGATCTTCACTGATCAAGAGGCCCTAATAAATTAAGAGCCTTCATTCTATTTCTCTTAAATATCTGTCGTGTACAGTCCTCGTCTAGGTCCATTTTTTTGCATTAGAAAGACAAGAAGTAAGATAATATTAAAAAAAAAAAACATACAATTAAAGAAACTCGCATGTAGTCAGTAAATTTAGTAAAAAATATAATGAATACGAAACGCTGAGAATGATCTCTGTCAATTCTCGTACCGTCATTGTGTTACGCCGTGTGTAAACAATGGAAACGTGCCCAATTCCTATGACAATGACTGGAGTCTGTGCTTGCGTCTAGCATAATATGACACGTGTCAATCCTGTGAACTAGTTTCTTGTTGCCGTCTCGCTCACACACGGAACTGAGCCGAACCATTTCTTTCAGAATTAATTAGAAGCGTTCACAGTTCAGTTGCACTTGCTGAGAATCAACTGGGTACAGTGACTTTTTGCGCGGACATTATTTGGATGGGTGATCATGTTTTTAATGATCGCTCTATCGATGGTTTTTTAATAGGATGAAAATGGAGTGATGTCTTTGCCTGCGCTATCGATATACGCTGGCGGAGCACTAGTGGGAATGATAGGTGGTGATGAAGCTTGGTCAAATGGCCTACCGTAGCGAATTCAGCAGGAATTAAAAATGAGGGAAAGGATAATCCAGAGAGAGTCACGCTAAGTATTTTTTTTACAACACAGGGGGCAAACGAGCATGCGGCTCACCTCATGGTAAGTGACTACCGCCGCCCATGATCACCCACAACACCTACGGCATTGCAGGTGTGATGCCGGCCATGACCTAAAGAGTATATTGCTATCAATGGGATTGCTAGGGTCTATTATAATCCCTTTCCCACTAGTTTTTTTTTGTTGTCTCTTTTTGTTTTTCATTCTTTTATCTCTTTTACTGCGTATGTCTGTAATATGTGTATGTTTGTATTGTTGTGTGCTGTAAGTAATGCAAATAAATTATCTATCTAGCTATCTATCTAGTTCAGTGATTTTATGTAGCCTAGTAATAGCTTTATGTTTTTTTATATCATTAAGCTTACGAACGCCTGCAATACGAGGGGCATTACGCGCGCGCTGCTGACCCTGAAGAAACCTCTTTATGCCTGTTTTGAAGATTCCAAGGCCAGTCTCATGGAAAAACATCGAGCAGGCAGCTCATTGCAGAACCTGAGCGTATGTAAGAGGTAACATCTTTGAAACCGCGCTGTACGTGACTATCCAGGCTCAAAGATCGAGTCTACTATAAATGTAAATAAATTTTGATAAATTTGCAGGTGGTAAAAAAAAGAATTTGTTTATTGTTTAAGAACTGAACTATTGTCGGTGGTATTTAACTAACCCTTCATCTTCTCTTCTCCATCCATCACAGATCGTCGTGTCATATTAATTGTCCCTACATTTTCTCATTTCTGTTTGTTATTATACTATACTTATGGACTAAGTGCTAGATTAATTTCGGTAATAAATTTGAAAATGTACTCACTCATTTCTCCATTTTCAGAGATGTATCTGAAAAAAATAAATAAAAAAAGTTAATTACATTTATTTTTTAACATATATTCTGTATATTTTAGCTGTATTGCGCCTAGAATGGGCCACCCCAACCTTTCCTGTGGGTGTCGTGAAAGGTGGCTAAGGGAACTTAATGATCAAGGGATGGGCAGCAGTGTCCTTCCTAAAACATCTCCAAAGCCTAACGGCGGTTGCCATTCCGCCTGCCAAGCATGGCGACTACTAGCCTTTACCAGAGGGAGACTTTGTACAAAAGTCGATTGCTTGGGTACCTCTGTCACATTCGTGTTTCAACCGTGAAGCAGTTGTGTTTGCGACGGTTTGAAGGGTGGGATATGGCGTGAATTTACAGGGTACAGAGGAATAAACCTGAGTCCTCAGGAATGGCAACGCATGGGGGGTATCATGGGTGAAACAGTATAGTCTGCTATGTCCATGGTACTGCTCGTCTATAGGCGACGGTTATCACTTTCCATCAGGTGGGCCGTCAGCTTGTTTGTCATTCTAAGTTGCATAAAAAAAAAAAAAAAAAAAGAAAAAAACTAGCAAAACCCCTCAAGGGGGAGGCTGATATTCAGCAATGGACAGTTAAAGTCTGATGTGATGTATATATTATAAATATTATTGTATTAATATACTGGTATTATAACCTATTCAGATTCTTTGACTCATCAAGAGTTCTTGACCTTATAATATGGTCCAAATATATTTTATATTCACACGTTTTTTTTTATACAACAAAGAGAATGATGCTCACTTTTATACTTTATCCAAGCAGTAAGTACTTTATATTATTCCCATTTTCGTGTATAATATAGTATATATCATATATGTGTAAGTATATTTGTTATTCATATATATATTAATTCATTTATATATGTAATTTTAGTATGTGTGTATATCAATAATTACTAGTACCGCATTCGAGTATTCTGACACTTCCCTACGGTTGACTGGGAGAGAATGCTTTTAGCATTAAGTCCGCTATGTACCCATATATGTCATCATTATATCATATCAGTCTTTAGCTGCCCATTGATGAGTATAGGCCTCCCTTTTGGGAGGCGGGGGGGGGGGGGGTTGCTAGTTGACACGCTTGGCTGGCGGATTAGCAACCGCAGTTAGACTGTGGAGATGTCTTAAGACGGACGCTGCTGCCCATGCCTCGCCGTCCTTTAGTCACCTCTTACGACATCCACGGGAAAGGAAGCGGTGGCCTATTCTATGCCGGGACCACACGGGATATTATAATATATTAATGGTCATAAATTTTTGTACCGAAGAATATTATTCTTTTTTTTATACAACTTAGAATGGCAAACAAGCTGACGGCCCACCTGATGGAAGGTGGTAACCGTCGCCTATAGACATGAGCTGTACCATGGACATAACAGAGTATACTGTTTCGCCCATGATACTCCCCTTGCGTTGCCATTCCTGAGGACTCAGGTGCTATTCCTCTGTACCCAGTAAATTCACGCCATATCCCACCCTTCAAACCGAAACATAGCCATGCAAACACAACTGCTTAATAGTAGAAACACGAATGGGACAGAGGTACCCAAGCAATCGCATTCCTGATTAAAAAGGAGTTTCTCAATTAGTCCTTTGGTGTCTAATTGTCATTCGTTTTACAATCTTACTTTCATATTAGTTGTTATACTTTGGCACAATAATAAATAAATGAAGTAAATGAACAATTTTCATACGACGAACTTCATTGTTCTTTTTTTGAACAAAATCTGAAATTATCCAACACTATTAAGAATATTTGGCTACAGTTATATGGAGTCAAGGTCAAGGTAAGATCATTAAATCTAGTAGGAAACTGGCACTGTATTTTTTATAGATAAAAATAGAATGTTAATCCCTTAATTACCAGAGGGAGACTTTGTACAAAAGTCGATTGCTTGGGTACCTCTGTTCCATTCGTGTTTCAACCGTGAAGCAGTTGTGTTTGCATGGCTGTGTTTCGGTTCGAATGGTGGGATATGGCGTGAATTTACTGGGTACAGAGGAATAACACCTGAGTCCTCAGGAATGGCAACGCATGGGGGGTGTCATGGGCGAAACAGTATACTCTGTTATGTCCATGGTAATGCTCATGTCTATAGGCGGCGGTTACCACTTTCTATCAGGTGGGCCGTCAGCTTGTTTGCCATTCTAAGTTGTATAAAATATGTAATAAAATATATATATATATATATATATATATATATATATATATATATATAGCATTTTCTTTATATAGCAATCTGTAGTTAACGTTGTTGGTAGTACTATTAATCACATTTAAATGAAATCTTATTATAATTATATATTGTATTACTGTTTGTTAACTTTAATAAAATAAAATATATATATATATATATATATATATATATATATATATATATATATATATATATATATATATATATATATATATATATATATACTTAAGTATTACTATTACGGTTTAAATTGGTGGAGTTCCAATGAAGGATGTTAGGCGAGGAAGATGAAAGTAGGTCAGTTGGCTCATAGTAACAGATTCACCAGGACGCTTTACACCAAGGACAGTGTGGAAGGATTATTCGAACAATGGAGTCACTAGTTCCCATATTTTTTTATACAACTTAGAATGGCAAACAAGCTGATGGTCCACCTGATGGTAAGTGGTAACCGTCGCCTATAGACATGAGCAGTACCATGGATATAACAGACGGTGCTTATGATACCCCTCATGGGTAGCCATTCCCGAGGACTCAGGTGTTATTCCTTTGTATCCTGTAAATTATGAACAATTCCTCCCTCGACACATACTGATTGACTGAATGACAGACACACATATAACCTAATCCTGTCAGTCTAGAAAATAATAAAATATTCCGTAGGGTTCCTTATAGGTGAGGTTTTTTGTACTAATAACGGATTTTTTTAAAATTCATCTCTGAAGCGAATGGAATAAGGAACGAAAATTCATTTAGATTTTGCCAATGAGAGAATTTCATCGGGTTTGCATTACATTTTTTTTTATACCACTAAGGTAACAAACAAGCATACGGCCCACCTGATGGTAAGCGATTACCGTAGCCTATGAACACCTGCAATACCAGAGGTATTACGCGTGCGTTGCCGACCCTGAGGGAATCTCTTTACCCCCCTTTTGAAGAACCCCATGCTGTAGTCTCTTGGGAAAACCTCGGCATGGAGCTCATTCCATAACCTGAGTGTTCGTGGGAAGGAAACATCTGTGAAACCGCGCAGCACGCGACCATTGAGGCTGTAGGACATGAGGATGAACTCCCTGTCAATGGCGAGCCGTGCCAGGGTAGAAAGTGGCTATGGGCATCATATTGAACAATTCCTCTGAGCACAATCCATTGTACATTGCATTACATTATTAAAATATAGTTTATCTGTCTCTTTACTTGTAGTATTGTATTATTCAAATTTGTTAAAGTTGAAATAAAAAAAAATTACCAAATATTTAACTGGTTTTTCTGATTCACATATATTATTTTTCAATTAACTACAATAATAACGGTTTATCAGTTCGACAGATTTTTTGTCAGTAATATACATACTCATCAGGCGATGTGGTTGCTAAGCATGCTCCGATTTCGATGATTCTTTTTACTATTGACAAAAATTATTCCCATATTGGTTCGTCACTAATTATTATGTTCAATATTAAATTCTTTTGGGTTACGAAATCTTGAAATAACCGAATATTAGTACTCGTGTTATTAATTTATTTTTGGTTTGACCTACTTTTAAATAATAAAGGTCAGCCTTTGAGAGTAAGGGTAAAGGGATAACCCTAAATATAATCGAATTTAAGATTTATTGATAGGTAACCCCTGTCCACCCTATAGGTAGAGCAACATACAGTGACACCTACCTAATAATAACAACACATTCTGTATGAACAGTACATTGAGTTTTATTTTTGCAAACATTTGAGAAAAAAGATTAGAAATGTCTATGTTTAAATTTTCATTAAATCCTTATGAGAAAATTTGTTGTTTCCGGTTTTACCCGCGTTAATAATTATTTTTTTATGTAACTATAACTGCAAATAAGAATACGGCCCGTCTGATGGTAAACGGGGTACTGTAGCCTTTGGACGCCTGTAACACCAAGGACATCACGCGCTATAAAGTATTCTGTGTTAAACTAGAATATAACCAACTCGTGCACTAAATTTCATAAAAATCTGTTTAGTCGTTTTTGCAGGAAAAGTTTTTTTTATACAACTTTTTTACGGTCCATCTGATTAAAGTGTAGTAACCGTCGCCTATAGAGCAGTACCATGGAGCAGTATCATGTGTTGCCATTCCTAAGGACTCAGGTGTTATTCCTCTGTACCCTGTAAATTCACTGTCATATCCCATCCTTCAAACCGTAACACAGCCATGCAAACACAACTGCTTCATGGTAGAAACATGAATGAGACAGAGGTATCCAAGCAATCGACTTTTGTACTAAGTTTCCCTCTGATAGGTAGGTAAGTAGGTAACATCTATTCATACATACAAACTTTAGCGTTTACAATACAAGTGGAATATTAGAAAGCATTTTTTTTAAATCGAACAGGTCATTTAAAATCTATCGTATATATTTTATAGGAATCGATCAAGGAATATTTGTGTTTCAACTTGACACTTGTATTGTATAAACATACGTGGAATGTAGAGGTCATTGTTAATTGGACATATTGTTTACAAAACATAAAACCGCTAGATTTCTTTTTAATTAAGGTCCTGAAATGTACCCTTTTCCTATTACACTCTAGTGTTTAGACTAATAAGCAATTTTATTCTAATTAGAATTGTAATTATTGTATCAAATGTTATTATATGACGCTAGTATGTAGTGGGTATTGTTGGTGTGGTCCCGGCATAGAAAAGGCCACCCCTTCCTATCCCGTGGGTGTCGTAAGAGGCGACTAAGGGTGGGCGAGGGATGGGCAGTAGCGTCTCACTTAAAACATTTTTAAAACCTAATTGCGG